TCAGAAAGCCGCATAAAAAAAAATCCGCATAAAAAAGTTCTTTACTTTCATACAAAAACAGGGGATGCGTTCCAGCATTTTCAAAAACCGCATAAATTCAGATACTCTATGTAAAAAATTCTAAAAAACCGCATAAAAAAATCCAGTGAGGCATTATTGAGCAAAAAAAACTATTTATTTCTTCACTTCAACACTTATTATTCCATATAAACCCGAACATTAATGAAATAAATTAAATTTTAAATTAAAATTAACAAAAAATAAAAATAAAAATACCACAATAAATATATGAATTATGTAGAATACATAAAAAAAATTGAGAAAAAAAGGTTTTTTCTTAACAGCGGTCGCCCATCGGCATGCCATGAAAATCAGCTTCTCATAAAAATCCAATCGTTCGGAGTCGGAGTAAAAGTGTAGGTCCCTCCCTTTTGTGAGAAAAGCTCGGCCAAACAGTAAAATTTTGTGTAAGCTCGATTTTGTCGTCAATATTTTTATCAGTTTTGGTACCGATATTTTTATCGATTTTGCTATCGATATTGTTGTCGCTTTTGTTATCGATATTTTTATAGGTTTTATTATCGATATTTTTATCGATATTGCTATCGATATTGTTATTGATATTTTTATCGATTTTGTTATCGACTTATTAATCGATTTTGTTACCGACTTTGTTATCGATTTTTTGATAGATTTTGTAATTGATTTTGTTATCGATTTTGTAATCGATTTATAGATTTTGTAATTCATAATTTGCTCTCTAAGTAACTCGCTAAGTAATTCGTGAATTACCCTGTTTCCACGCCACACATTAGTAATTTGTTTGACAGATCTAGTTCTTGTTCTGGTTCTTCGCTATTTATTATCAGGGCTATTCGCGATCCGGTGCAAATGGCCTAGCATCATTGCATTGCATTTCTATCAGTTGATTAAAAAAGTTTTACCATCACAGTTTAATAAAGGTCGCTCACAATCCATGGGTTATTTCTGCAATTGCATAAATTTGTCAGCTCTTATGCACCGAATCGCGAATATCCCTATTATTTTTGTGTACAGGGAATATCGACGATAGAGCAAAAATTTAAGTTNGCATAAATTTGTCAGCTCTTATGCACCGAATCGCGAATATCCCTATTATTTTTGTGTACAGGGAATATCGACGATGGAGCANGCTTTTGTTATCGATATTTTTATAGGTTTTATTATCGATATTTTTATCGATATTGCTATCGATATTGTTATTGATATTTTTATCGATTTTGTTATCGACTTATTAATCGATTTTGTTACCGACTTTGTTATCGATTTTTTGATAGATTTTGTAATTGATTTTGTTATCGATTTTGTAATCGATTTATAGATTTTGTAATTCATAATTTGCTCTCTAAGTAACTCGCTAAGTAATTCGTGAATTACCCTGTTTCCACGCCACACATTAGTAATTTGTTTGACAGATCTAGTTCTTGTTCTGGTTCTTCGCTATTTATTATCAGGGCTATTCGCGATCCGGTGCAAATGGCCTAGCATCATTGCATTGCATTTCTATCAGTTGATTAAAAAAGTTTTACCATCACAGTTTAATAAAGGTCGCTCACAATCCATGGGTTATTTCTGCAATTGCATAAATTTGTCAGCTCTTATGCACCGAATCGCGAATATCCCTATTATTTTTGTGTACAGGGAATATCGACGATGGAGCAAAAATTTAAGTTATCATCAACAATTTTAATTTATATAGAGAATATTTTATTCATATTATTCTATAACTAGAAAAAGTGCTGGAGGGAGAGCGAATTACGAAGCGTGGAAACGCCATATAATCGATTTATAGATTTTGTAATCGATTTAGTTATCGATATTTTTATCGATTTTGCTATCAATATTATTATCGATTTCGATATCGATATTTTCACCGATTTTTCTATAGATGTTTTTATCGATATTATTATCGCTTTTGTAATCGATNTTTACTGTTGGAAATTTTTGACAGTTGCTCTGGTTCAAAAGAAGTTGAGCAATTAAAATCAGAAATTATACAAAAAAGACTTGTCTTTACCGACATTTATTCTTCTAGAACTAAAAGCCATGAATTTATTAGACGCCTTAGTAATAAAATCAAACCATCAGGCCGGGTTGAAAATTTTCTTTCACCGCATAGTTAACAAAACTTAACAATCCGTAGTACTTTTATATCAATTCGCAAATGCGTTTAATTTAAATCGTTTAGAAAATGCGTCATTTATGTATACCATTTTATAAATTTCGTTTTACACTATACTTTTTGAAACTATTTGGAGTTAATTATTTTTTGTTTCTTAAAAGCAACCCTGCATGCTTAGAAGGCGTGTGTACCAATAATTTCATCCCTAGCATATTCATCCCCGAGGAAGGCAGTCGCCAAATTCACCGAAGGTTGTTTACTGGTTATATTGTGTCTTATCCATACCACGTATTCTACGTTGAAACAAAGCCCGCAGACCAAGAAGAAGGCGCCGAACTGTTCCTTTTTTTAAACTTCGCTCGTTAATAACTCTATATCAATAACTGTAATCAAATTTCATTTTAGTCTACATAAAAATACACTTTTGCGATAACAAATATAACGTTTGCTCTACAATTGAAGTTATTTATGTAGGCCCATAAATAAGCAGTAAAATCACGCTTTCTGCACGCAAACGTGAACATAGATAATCATCGCAATTCAATACAATTGCCGATTACCGTTAAACATGACTGGCGGTATTAAACCCCACTTTATCTAATCTGTTGAAAATGTATTAAGTAATTAACGGCTTAAAAAACATAATCTGGCGATATATAGAGCGCTGATTATCGTGTATGGTTTGAGTAAACTTTTCTTAGCGATCCGTTAAACATGAAAGGGCTGGTACTGATTTGGGGCTTTTTAGGTAAGTATAAGTTAAGATTTTTCCTAACCTTTCAATATATCTTCCATTTCAAAGGAACTGCAGTTGCCTATCCCTTGCGCGTGAGTCTTCTGGATATGGCTGAGACGCCAACCACAAACAAAGTACATTTCTACCTTTACACTGCTTCAAATCCAGAAGAGCCACAAGAGCTTAGTATTGGGGATGTAGATTCCGTAAAAAAATCGCTCTTCGACAAAAGTCGACACACAAAGTAAGTTTGAGAAGATTTTCAAAAGACCTTTCTCTTCTGTTGCACTTAACAATGCATTTATCCATTTAAGAGTTCTGATACACGGCTGGGGTGGAAACTATACAACTTCCCCAAATGGTTTACTGCGACGCGCCTACTTCACACAACAGGATTACAATATAATTTCCGTTGATTGGTATCCATATGCGAAATTGAATTATTTATCAGCACGCGCAAAGGTGCCGGTCGTAGGTGAAAATATAGCCGAGTTTTTGGATTTCCTAAACGAACAATTCCAATTGAGCTTTGACAAAGTGGTGGTGATAGGTCACAGCATGGTCGCACATGCAGCCGGATTTAGTGGGAAACTTGTAAAGCGTGGAAATATTGCTGCCATAGTTTCATTGGATGCAGCTTCTCCACTTTACGATTACAACAGTCCAGACACACGTATATCCAGTGATGATGCCAAATTTGTGCTAAGCATACACACAAATGGTAATTTAAAGGGTTTCCTAAATCCCATCGGCACTGCGTCATTCTATCCGAATTGGGGTCGCGTGCAACCTGGTTGTGGATTAGATTTAGATGGTGCATGCTCTCACAGCCGTAGCGTCACTTTGTTCGCAGAAGCTGTGCGCGGCTACTCATTTGCACCAATTTACGGATGTGGTGATTTTACTGAAGTTTCATCGAAAAGTGGTTGTAATCAAAGTGCAACGCATGTAGAATTCGGTGATCCATTACAGATAGATAAAAATGCGGGCATGTACTATTTTACAACTAACGCAGCATCTCCTTTCGGAGTATTGATTGAAAGAAGGAATAAAGCAAGCGCAAGCGTTGCGGAGTATACAGTCGACGATCGTGATGTGTGAACTAATAATAAAAATTTCGATCATGATCTTCCTTTTTAGTAATAGTCAAATTTGTTGTTATTGTTGCTTCTGTGGAATTTCGCGCGGTCTTAATATTTCTACTCAGACAGCCCAGCTATGAAGAACTGGTGTGTGATGTTCGTCAGGTCTGAATGCCATTTGTAAATATGCTCGACTTAATGTGGGTCTATAAAGATTCGGCCGGGAGAGGTAGCTTCTTGGACGACTACTGCATTTCGAAGTATCGCATGGGAACTCAAGCTTCCTGCAACCTCTTAAATGCCTGTACAGTTCACATCGTTTGGAGTTTAGGTCACACTACAAGGTGAACTAGTGTGGATGTCCCAAATTTGATTCCGGTTGGTTGGTTGTTGGAAGGGTTCAGCTGTGTATAAATTATTGAGTGTCCGGGAGTAAAGGCCGATTAGGGGGCCCGTCTGTTTAAAATTTTATGTTGTTTGAATTTATGGTTTTTGGATTTGGATTTANTTGTTGGAAGGGTTCAGCTGTGTATAAATTATTGAGTGTCCGGGAGTAAACGCCGATTAGGGGGCCCGTCTGTTTAAAATTTTATGTTGTTTGAATTTATGGTTTTTGGATTTGGATTTAAAAAAAATATAAATGCGTCCAGTGCCAGGTTCACGATTTGATCATACTCTCACTGATCTATGTAGTGATTGCTTTAAAAGAAGTGCATGTTTTGCTATTCCTAGTTCTGCTTTCTTCTATAATCCCAAGAAGCCAATTCGGCGCGTTGATAACTCTGGATGTTCAATGAACTGGTTCAAAAAATGGCGCGTGGATATGCAGCGCTCGATGTGCTTTAGCAGCATTTATCCTGCAAATTGGACCTCGTTCGCCTTCACCAACGAATCTGCTTTGCGAGCGCATGAAGGAAGCAAAAATAAATCGATTATGATGGTGGATTTTCCGTAAATATACGTAGCTTTTAAATCTACATACATATTCGAACCCGCAAGTTTGATATTAAATAGTATAAAATTAGTGCATCAAATTTTAATGTATATATTTCTAAATACTCAATTTATTATAAATCATGTGCTTGCTATACTAAAATGCACACGTGCACTTTCCATTGTGATGATCTTAAGCTAGATAAAAATTTGAATTTTAAAATAATTTCAAAACATATACATACAAACACATATATATACGTGTACATACATACAGTGTTATCCTAGCGAATTCTTGAAAGGATTAATTAGTGACAGAATCCATTGTTGAGCCGGTCCCACTGAGCACAGTAGTCACTCCCAATAGAGCATCACCAATAGAATTAACAGGATTCACGGTATTGACAGCCGTTCCGAAAACTACCCCGATTCCACTACTTGGCAGAGCCATACTGGTACTAGTACCAACACCATCTAAAGCAACAGTGCCAGCGATTGCACTGGCAGTGCCCACAATACTTCGACTCAATGCTGCATCGTGAGTTCGCATATGTGCATTCAAGCCTCCTGATTGCGCAAACGTTTTGCCGCACACTTTGCATTCGTGTTTGCGATCTTTAGAATGTAACTTTTTATGTACTCGTAGAGACTTCTTCCTTTGAAATGTTGAACCACACATGTCGCATGCGAATGGCCGCTCGCTGCTATGTGTTACCGCATGTACATTCAGATCATGGAAGCTGTAAAATGCTTTGCCGCAAACTTCGCATTTCGCCGGCCTTTCTCCAGTGTGCCTACGCATATGCGCTTTATAAACGCCGTGGTCACGGCAACGCTTTCCACAAATCTCACAAACTACCGGCCTTTCGCCGGTATGGCGCAACATGTGAGCCTTCAACTCTTTATCAGTGAAGAAATCATTGCCACATTCCTGACATTTGTGGGCCTTTATGCCAGTGTGCCGAATTTTATGACGTTGCAGGTTACCAGTTTGTGAAAATTTCTTGCCACAAATATCGCATACAATGCCGGTATGTTTCCACTTATGGGCTCGCAAATTTCTCTCAGCCCTGAATAGTTCACCACATTCCTCACATTTGAATTTCATATTTGGCTCCTTGGGCTTTCTTTTTTTCGGGTTATGGGTTTGTCGGTGATGTGTTAACATGCTGCGTTTTGTTTTGTATGATCGCATGCAGTCCGGACAAGGGTACGGAAGTGAATCAATATCTTCTTGTGGTTTTGGTTTCTGATCAAAAGGTAAACAAAAAATGGTGAATATCAAATTCTGCAATACAACAGTTTATATAGAATGAAATCAAATCGCATTTAATGGAATCAAAAGGAATTGTTGAACTGTTTTACTGCAATCTCTTTGATTTATTCTTAATGTCGGCGCGAGGTCAGTGTTTACTGTATTAAACACATGAAAATACTTTATTTTTCCAATATATTTCTCTCTCCTCCGGAGATCGTTTTTCATGCATAAAGGGAAAATTATGATTTTTCATGTGTTTTAATACATTAGACACCCTGACCTCGATCCGGCATTAAAAGGGAATTGTTGAACTTCTACTGTTTCTTTTCATATAGGCAAGACTTTCAAATGCGGTATATAGAGAGAAACTTGTTCAACGTGTAACGTGTCCTTAATCAAGTTTCCATCTAGTTCAAGACGTGAACTTACCTCCTCATCTGAGGAATCGTTTGGGTGCCAATCCGCATCATTTGCATCCCTTTTATCATCGGTTGAATTTGTGTCACTATCATCGTCATCATCTACATCTTTTTTGCGCTTAGACTTCTCTTCTCGCTCCTCAATGCTCTCCTCTAATTTCTGTAAGTCAACGAAGTCAAATGGCTTCTCTTCAACTGTAGGTTCGTCGGGATCCGAATCTGGGGCATCAAAGCCCACAGACTCCCCTCCATCGTCACTGAGGTATTCTTCTTCGCTTTTTATGGGATCTACGTCAACTTTGATGGTCTCAGAGACATTTGAGGTACTCTTTTCAACTTTTTCGTCTTTGGGCGTCAGATGCTCATCTTGGAAATGTTGAGGGAACTGCTCGAACTCTACTTTGATGCCGCACAAACAACACGCCACATTGTAGGTATTCGAGCTTAGGCAATAAATCTCACCACATTTGAAGTTATGAAATTTACTCGCATCCGGCGGCACAAGTTTTAACATTTTCGTGATTTAATATGGTGAATTTTATTCTTTTAAAGTTCTAAAAATGGAAAATATTTAAGCAAATAGCGAAATCCACGACAACAAAAAACTCACTTTTTTTTTTTTTTGGGTTTGGAGATGCCACTAGGCATCAAATTTAGATTGGCGAATGGTTCTTTTAGAGCCGTACGTTGCCAGGTTATTCTTACAAATTAACATTCTTGTCGTAGTTTGTTGCGAGCGGCGATTCCTTTTCTTGACTCCAGATAAGACTCCATCGAAGGGCAAGCAAGGTGACTCACATACTTATTTATGTTTACATCATTTTTCAGGTAATAATATAGAACCAAAACATGAGAGTATATTCTAATTCAATTGAACAAGGTACAAATTTTGCCTACAAAGTTGATTTATATGAATCTTACATCACAAGATTTCGAGCAAACAGTAATACAGAGTATTAACCAGTACAACTAAAAACACAAAAATAATTAATATACAATGCATACGATAAGACCCATTAGGACAGGGGCATTGGTTCAACATAAGAAAGAGGTATACATTATGATTATGCAAGAATGTGTATCTTATCTATTTGTACATCAACGANGGCGGCACAAGTTTTAACATTTTCGTGATTTAATATGGTGAATTTTATTCTTTTAAAGTTCTAAAAATGGAAAATATTTAAGCAAATAGCGAAATCCACGACAACAAAAAACTCACTTTTTAATAGCATGTCAAAAATGCAACCAGTGCTGCCAAGTCTGAGCTCTACATGGTCTGGTGATGCCGGGTAAATATTTTTTTACTCCCAACACGTACATACATATTTTGCTCTCTACTTTTTCACAAATTCACTACTTTATAAGCACTTTCAAATCAATTTTAAATAATCTACTCGACAAGTATATTGTGGTAGGTAGTAATAAAATAATCTCGGCAGCTCTGCTGTAGCTTCTACCAGTGCTGCCGCACTAAACCAAAAACCAACTGCCCACTGTATTTGTAAACAATTATTGATTTTTATGTATTCGATATTGCATACAAAGGACTTGCAGTAAAATCTTCAACGATTCTGATTTAATAATAAATTTTGACTCTGGNTATTTGTAAACAATTATTGATTTTTATGTATTCGATATTGCATACAAAGGGCTTGCAGTAAAATCTTCAACGATTCTGATTAATAATAAATTTTGACTCTGAAAAATTTGTGTTAATTAAAGGTCCCAGAAAACAATGTCCGATTGCGCTGCAACGACTAATACCAGTGACAAGATGGCCAGCTTATTGAAAGAGGCAGAAAATTTAAAAATTAAACTAGAGGAGGAACGTGCAAAGTTAAATGATATTAACCTATGGACAGTAGCAGAGCGACTCGAGCAAATCGCTTTTGTAAACATTAAACCTCGCAAAGTACTTAAAGGTCATCAGGCTAAGGTTCTATGTACCGACTGGAGTCCAGATAAACGCCATATTATTTCTTCATCACAAGATGGACGATTAATTATCTGGGACGCATTCACTACAAATAAGGAGCATTTTATAACGATGCCCACTACATGGATTATGGCTTGTGCCTACTCACCATCAGGCAATTTTGTTGCATGTGGGGGTTTAGACAATAAGGTTACTGTTTACCCTATTACTTCAGATGAGGAAATGGCTGCCAAAAAGCGAACGGTTGGCACGCACACCAGCTACATGTCGTGCTGCATTTATCCAAATTCTGATCAGCAAATCCTTACAGGTAGTGGGGATTCAACTTGTGCACTATGGGATGTAGAAAGTGGACAGTTGTTGCAAAGCTTTCACGGCCATTCTGGTGACGTTATGGCGATTGATTTGGCGCCAAATGAAACCGGAAATACATTTGTCTCCGGAAGTTGCGATCGAATGGCTTTTATTTGGGATATGCGGTCAGGTCATGTTGTTCAATCGTTTGAAGGTCATCAGTCAGACGTGAATACCGTCAAGTTTCATCCCAGCGGGGACGCAATAGCAACCGGCTCAGATGATAGTAGCTGTCGCTTATTCGATATGCGTGCGGACCGGGAAGTGGCTGTATTCGCAAAGGAGAGTATCATATTTGGCGTTAACTCGGTAGATTTTTCTGTAAGCGGACGACTGCTGTTTGCAGGTTATAATGATTACACAGTCAATCTCTGGGATACGCTTAAATCTGAGCGTATATGTCTCCTCTACGGACATGAAAATAAGGTATCGTGTGTGCAGGTTTCGCCAGATGGTACTGCACTATCTACCGGCAGTTGGGATTATACCATACGCGTATGGGCCTAATTCACGTCGAAATGTGAAATGTTATATAAATAAATTATATAATAGCGATTTATTGTTGCCATTAAATTGTACACAATGAGATTAAAATTTGAATGTTACCTATTTGTTACTCGTATTATAACCTTAAAATTATCTTATTAAATGTTTTTAGCCAATAACACGGAAGTGTAAATGGATTTTTTTTTTTATCCTAATCACAAAAGTTATTAATTGAGAAGACTATGTTCCTCCGCTTTATGCTGTCGCATATGACCCGCCAGCCCTGCCATTTGGGCATAAGCACGCCCGCACAATTTGCAGACAAATTTTTTGATTCCTAAATGCAAATGTTTGTGATGATATAATGCTTTGCTGCGAGAAAATGCGGCTCCACATACATCACACTTATGTGGACGTTCTGTAGAGTGCATTGGCTTGTGTTCATTAAGTAAAGAGGCCGACATAAATCGCCGCCCACATGTGGCACATTCAAAAGGTTTTTCCCCGGTGTGGGTTCTCTTATGTACAACAAGTGCATCCTTTTGCCGTGTACGATATCCGCATATTTCGCATATATAATTTCGTTCATCCGTATGAATTCTTTGATGGACTTTGAGACGTGATGAAGTAACAAAGGCCTTACCACAATTCTCAAAATTACATACAAATTCCTTCAAACCTTTATGTGATTTTAGGTGTACACGTAAGGATCGCGAATTTTTATAAGCACGGTTACATTGTGTACACGAAAACCCTATATGTTCCTTTCGTATATGCGAGTCCAAAGATCTCTGCTCTGTGAACTCAGCTTCGCATTGATCGCATTTGAAGTCCTTTGGTCTCAGATGCTTCATGTTTATATGAAGCTTCAGTATTCGTTCAGTGGTATAAGATTTTTGGCAGTGCGCACAAGAGTACTCTTTTGGCTTTCTAGGCTAAAAAATCGTCTGGGTATTAAACTTGCTTTAGCATACAAGTAAGCGGGAATTTACCTTTTTCAAAATAACATTATCGTCGTTTCCATTATTCACATCCAAATCTTCAACATCGTCATCATCGAATTCGTCGTCAGACATAGTCCCAGCATCTTCTGTAATGTCATATTCATTTGGATTGTCCCCATCATCCTCTTCCACCGTTTCTCTTTTAGGTGACATAATTTTCTTCTCGCTTGTTGTGGCTTCGCTCAGTATGCTTACTGGCTTGATTTCACATTTGGGGCTTACGCCACATTCGTCCAATTCAGCTAAATACTCCACATTTTCAAACTCCTCGTCTTTTATACATGCCTCAAGTTCACCATCTTTATCACTATCGCTGTCATGCACAGTGCCTCGCAAGTGCACGTTCTGGTAATGCAACATGAAGTCATCGAACTCAAAGAGCTTCATCTTGCATAGCACACAAATTATAGTGAAGTTCGCATTGTCGTAACAAATAATTTCTCCGCATCTTACGCTGGTCCTAGTTTGTTCATAACTAGAAGGCAGCGTACAATTTCGCAGCATTTTCCTTAAAAAAAAAACCTTGACTTTTGATAAGCAATTTTGTTTATATGCCAATTGTCAACAAATTTTCATCAGTGCTGCTAATTCAGTTCAAGCCATACGTCTCGGCAAACCGATTATTTATGTACACATGTTTCAATTATCGCATGCGATTTTCAAATGAATAACACTATGCTACAATTTTATGAAATTCAAACCAGGCAGGGCTTTGCTAATATTTTCTGAAAGTATACATGTCCAGTATTAAAACACTCGATGGATTTAAAAATGTTAGCTCGTATTTTATTTTACCTACTAAAGTTTTCATGTCCCGGCCTAAGTAGTTTTCACAAAAGTGGAAAAACTGGTTAAAATAAATGTCTGAGTTTTTGCCTCAGAAGACCCCCAGTAAAATTTCCCAAGAATAATTTTCTACGGTCTAAGGGTCAAAACGACCATTTCAGGCGAGAGCTAATGGGTTAAAATGTTCTGCGTAAATATTTCCCATGGCTGCGTTTCTTTATACATTCCGGATAATCCCATTTCACCAGGAGCGTTCTAAAGAATAAGTAAACAAAAAAGTTTATTCCAAACGTTCAGAATGAATAAAGAAATTCAGCCCATGAAATTTTACTATATATGTCTTAACCTTTAATTTCGCTCAGACATTTATTTTAGCCAATTTTTCCACTTTTTGAAAACTACTTGGGGCGGGAAATGCAAACTTTAGTAGGCCATAAAATAAAACCACGTGCTACCGTTTGCTAATCCATCGAGAGTTTTACTACTGGATGGGTATACCTTCAGAAAATGGTAACAAAGTCCGGGCTGGTTTTAGCTGTCGAACAGTGTAATTTTAAATAAAATATGTTTTCTTAAAATTTGGTTTTTGTTTATTTGTGAACTTTTTTTAATTGGGGTTTTTAAAAACCCCAAAATTGTAAGCCGTACATCCCAATTTAAAGATCTAGTGTGTTTCACAGAAGTCATAATATCACTATTAAAATTGGATCGCTTTTTTCGATCATATTTAATACATACTTATTTTGGTTATGAAAATTTAGTATCAATGATAACAGTTAAAAACTATCGACAAAAAGCCATTTATAACAATTAAATAAGTCTGTGAAATTTAGCTTTTTTCCCTTCCAATAAATATGTATTTTTTTTTAAATTTAGGTGTGTTAAATTAAAATAAACTTTGGTTTTTTAACTAATACTGTTGGATTTTTAAGTAAAACCTCAATTCTAAATTAATTAATTTTTGGCTTTTAATGCAAATTGCCAAAAATTTTAAAATATACATGTCACCAAAAAAAAAAAAAAATATCGACGTGCCAGAAAAAACCCAAAGATATGTTTTAATTTAACATTCTTAGATTTTCAAATATATGACCTACATAGATAGTTAGTTGGGTAAGGCACTGCGACCGGTAGGTCTATTGTGCCCAAAAAATACTACCTAATTATTGAAAGGGGAAAAGTTAAGTGGCTGTATTATTTTTAACTAAATGACAGCCATTACTCAATAAAAGCGCCAGCGTTGCCTTGCTATCAAAATATTCTGTCCTTACAACGCAGTAGATATTTCAGGAGTAAGAAGCCCTTCCGAAAGGCCGTCCTGTGAGTCAAGAGGCCTTCCACTCTACATTCCTTTCTCCTTTCTTTTTTGTATGGAGTGGCACAAATTGAAGGGCTTCTTCTTTCACTACCCATGTACATCAGAAGGCCTTTTGGAGGAGCTATTTTAAAGTTGCTCCTTTAATTTATGAAAATCATACATCTTTGAAGTATTTGCTTAAGGATTATATCAAATATGTGTAATTGCAACTTAAAATTGTAAATGGATAAGCCCTTCTAGAAGACATGCAAGGAAGCACTTTTTTCAGCCCTTCTGGGGTAGACTTCTTAGAATGGCTTTAATTAAGAAAGTCTACCTAAATTATCTTCTGGGAATTTGTATGAAGAAGCGTCAATGATGATCAATCGGAAAATCCGCATTTGACAGAGAGTGAAGAGATGAAGTTGGCTTCAGAAAACGACGAAACTGTTAAGTATTGTTGTTGTTATTTCTACATTTGACGTAGCGTGGCCGCTTTGTTTAGGTATGACACTTCGGCGTTAACGCTAGGCAGCAGAAAACGCTCCGCCCACCGCTGTTACATGACGATTATTTTCGGTCTAAGCCTTTACACAGTTTACACTGTTTCGAAATAAAAATAGACAATTATAAAAAATTTTGCAGTCACCTTTATATTACAACAAAAACGTTTTTTTTTTTAATACATAACTTACGGTTACGGTTGATAATCTTTCAAACCCTCTTCCAGTGTTTTGATTAATTGTTGTGCTCCGCAAGAACTAGCATTGTTCACGACTTTCAAACCCCATTTACCAGTTATTTGGTCCTTGAAACATTTTATTAAATTTCCATTTATGGGTGCTACTGGTAAACCTCCAGGGTAGTCAATGATGGCGGTAATTCGCATTTTGTTGCAAGCCTCTATTATCCGCTGTAAGTAATTTTTTTGGGGCCAAAACTAAATTAAAATAGGAAAATAAATATTTATATACGTCGCATGAACTCGCATCGTTTACATTTATGTCGCTTCCATTATTTTGCAAGTGAGCTGTAATTACTAATTGCATAATTTGATAATCCTTAACCTAAAATAGGTAATGTTTAGCACGGATGTATAAACATATAACAATACCAAACCCACTTACTGAATTGAGTTCTTCTTGCAAATATACTATACCACTTTTGAGGTGAAAACACATTACCAATTGAAATGCGATAAATAACAGATCTTGAACTACGCGCTGAGCATCGGACCATATATACTCTCTGCACGTATTTTGATTTTCCGTTTTCAATTTTATGCACGTGTAAATATTCTCGAATTTAAAATTTTCTCCACTCTTGGATTGAATAAAAAAAGTGAAATCTTGCAACTTAAACTGTATTAGTTTTCATTACCACTTCTTCCACCGACACATAACGTCCTTTGTATGGGATTAAAAACCAAACTGTGTACTCCAGACACGTAATATATTCAAAAGCAACGCGTACATCATTGAAAATCTTCAAAGCATCCGCAGCTAACATTACGTCCAAAGCCGTTTGCCCAATAATGCAACAAGTTGTTAACTTGGGCAGTAAATCACGTTCGTTGTAGTGGTTTTTTAAAAATAGTTTTACAAAACATCCAAACAATTTTGCAATTTTTTCGCTTTAACAAGGAGGAAGGATTAAACGAATGAAAACGGTTCTCTAACATGTGCTTGGATACTCACTCTCGATTCATGCACCCATTTAATTTCGTAGTAATAAATTGCAACCAGTTGCCAGTAAATGCGTGGCATGATACCTGTGGTTGTTGCAAAATATAGTCGATATTTGTGTGAAATTTTCCCTGGAAAGCGTATATACTGCACTTTTGCTTCACTCCATCATCAACGGTATATTCGATCAACTCTGGACTACAGCGGAAGTCACGCAGAGCCTCAACTTTTTGAAATTGTTGTTGGCGTGTTTCAAGCAACTGCACGTTACGTTGTCGACGAAGCTTTCGCCTTTGTTCTCGAGCCAGCGCTTGTCGTGATGTACATGGTACATCACTATCACTATCACTTTCGACATCATGGCTGCCCATCGACGCTGTAGAAATATGAGTGGTTTTTTCAGCAACTCCTTTCGGAATGAGTAGTACTACACGGACATAGCCTTCATGTAGATTTTTGAAACTAACTAGTGATTCAATGCATGCATATTGGCCGCTACAGATAAATTTAACTGCGGCGCTAACGGCACGGCGGACTGGGCAATTATAACCTCCTTGTACAATGTAAACCGTGCTTTGTCTTTGTCTGAAATGTAGCTTCACATGAGCACAGTCAAGTATATTGCTGATTTCTATCTGTAAACAAACAATTGTACTAATATGTTTCATTAAAATAAAAAAACACTATTTTTTACCTCCTCGAAGAACATTTCCGCTTTAGCTGTCAAACCGTTGCACTATTTGCATATTTTACTTCCGCGAGACGGCATCTTTAGTACGAATAAAAGCAGGTACAGTACGAATAGAAAAATAAATTTGAGATGAGCTTCCCTACTAGACAAATTTGACGGAAACTAAAGCAGTGTTTGCATTGTTCAACTTTGCGTTCAACATTTACGTTCAACTCAACGCAGGGATGCACGAAAAAAAGTTGAATGGCTAAATGTTGGCTGGCAACCAACTTTGTTGAAAGCTTTTAGTTGAAACGCCGTTCAACCAGAAGTTGAATGCAAAGTTGAACAATGCAAACACCTTTTTATGGCGAATATTTTGATATTTTTTCATATTTTGATATTTTTAGCTATTGTAACTTTTTTTCGTGCAACCCTGCGCTGAGTTGAACGCAAATGTTGAACGCAAAGTTGAACAATGCAAACACACTTTAATCCAAACATAACAGTCAACCAATAAAAATACAAGTATCTATTAAGCTGCATTTACATGAGGCAATTTTTTGACAGGCGATAATCGCCTGCAAAAGTTGAGCTGCTGTCTACCTTGAAGCAAGCGATTTTTGAATTACCATTTACACGAGCAATTTTTGAAAAATACAGATGGAAAGAAAAATATCTTCGCCATATTTGGGAAGTTTAATTATCTGTTAGACTGGACATTTATACTTATCAAGCTTATTAATTGCATAACGAAATCTCCAAAAACGCGAATTATGAGTTACATCTCTATATTATTAAACGTGCGATATACATGTACACTTGTGATCAGCTAATTTAGCCAGCAACATTTTGATAAATTTTGACTATTTTTCTTTGGTTTATTTAATCTTTATTATTTTTCCATAAAAGTCTAGCTCATTATATAACAAACACCACATTAATCCAGATTTCAAACTTTGTGCAAAAATTATGAAAAATCTGCAAAGTTTCAGCTAAATTTTCAACTTTTTATTCAGATTTTTTAGAATTTTTTTGTGTATCCCATTTAATTCTAGAGTAATAATGTGCAAGTCTTAAGTTGCTAAAAAATCGCGTTCGTTGAGTTGTAACCATCATTATGAGCTCAAAAAAGAGTCAGAAAATAACATATTTCCCTCCTTAAAAGCACGGTGGAGAGAATACAGAAGGTGGCGCCGATGGCAATAGGTTCGTTCGCGTAGCTGTTAATTGTTCATGTTTAACCAAAACTTACAAGTTTTTGCGTTCGCGTACGCAAAAAACATGCAAAGTAGGGGAAATTGAGAGAGCAAACTTACATTTCATTTTGAGGGGAAGCTGCTGGTTTCTGCTGGAAAAATTTTTGCCTACAGCAATTTGCCAACAGGAAAACAGCTGATCAAAAATAGCTGGTTGGCATTTACGCAAATCACAAAATTGAATTTGATGGTTTGGAAGATAAAAATTACAAAATGCGACTAATTAAACTTGTAAGAAATAAGTAGTTATTTGTTTAATCAATAAACTGTGTCAGTATAACACTTTGCGATGACTTTTCGTACGTTTTAAATTTTACACTTTTGTATGTAAACAAAAATTATATCAGCTGTTCGTCTAACTTGCAAGTTTCTGCAAATTTTCTGTTCGCGTACTATTTTGGATATTTCTCTCTTGTGAGAGAACAGATGACATTTCGCCGAAATTTGGCAGTTGGTTGGTTTCTGCTGGAGATTTTAAACGAACGCACCTAATACCGCTAATCGGCTCTGAGTGAATTTGACAGAATCAGCTGTTCTGCCGACGTCACAGTCGAGATGACAGCAGTAGTGATGTGCTGAGTCAATACTTTTACTTTATCCAATTCTCTCGATACTCGGTACCTAAACATTTAGGTTTCGAATAAAAGCGCACATAGGCCAAAAATATGGAAAACGGTTCCGGGGAGACTCGCCTATCAAAACCCGAATGTGGAGCCAATAGAGCTTTCAATACTGATTAAAAAGAAAGATGTATATATGTCGGTTCGAGGCCATAATAACGATAAACTCTTACTTGTTTGAAGCATTTTTGTTCCAGCTGAATCGGACGATATCATTTTTGTAGGCAGATTCTATAACCAGTTAGCGAGAATTTTCGAATCGGTATCAGTTTTGTTGACGTATGATATTAAATATTTTTACTTCAACAAGTGTTTTTAACCGACTTCACAAAAAGGAGAAAGGTTATCAATTCGTCGGATTTTTTTTTTATGTATGATTTGTATAATTCTTTTTTGAAAGAAGAGGTATCACCTCACATATTAATTTGGTTTAAATCCGACTATCGCATCATGAAGAAATTAACGAGTCTTAAATTTTTATATGAGAAATGAAGTCGGTTTTGCTTTTTGCTTAAAAATTACTTGTTGATAATTCGAGTTTGCTTCAAAATTCTTCTTCTTCTTATTTGGCGCTGTAACCGCCTAAGCGATTTTGGCCGAGTCCAAAACAGCACGCCAGTCATTTATCTTCTGTGCTAACTGACGCCAATTGAAAATGCCAAGTGAAGCCAAGTCCTTCTCCACCTGGTCTTTCCAACGCAGAGGAGGCCTTCCTCTTCCTCTGTTACCAGCATCGCGGCCCGCGTTGAATATTTTCAGAGCAGGAGCGTTTCTGTCCATCCGAACGACATGGCCAAGCCAGCGGAGCCGCTGAATTTTAATTCGCTGCACTATGTCTATATCGTTGTAAAGCTCATACAGCTCATCGTTAAATCGTCTGCGATATTCGCCATCACCAACGCGTAAAGGTCCGTAAATCTTTCGCAGAATCTTTCTCTCGAAAACTCCAAGAGCCGCCTCATCAGATGCTTTCATTGTCCATGCCTCCGCGCCATACACCAGCACAGGCATGATGAGTGACTTATAGAGTGTGATCTTTGTACGACGAGAGAGGACTTTACTTCTCAATTGCCTACTCAGCCCAAAGTAGCACTTGTTGGCAAGAGTGATTCTCCGTTGGATTTCAAGGCTGACATTATTATTGGTGTTAATGCTGGTTCCCAAATAAACGAAGTCGTCTACTTTTTCAAACTTGTAACTGTCAACAGTGACGTGGGTGCCAAGACGCGTATGCTCTGACTGTTTGTGTGCTGACAGGAGATACTTCGTTTTGTCCTCGTTCACCACCAGACCCATTCGCTTTGCTTCTCTATCCAATCCCGAGAAGGCAGAACAGACGTAGCCCTTGTTTTTACCGATAATATCGATGTCGTCGGCATACGCCAGCAATTGTACGCTCTTATAAAGTATTGTGCCTGAGCGGTTCAGTTCTGCGGCTCTTATTATCTTCTCCAACATAAGATTAAAGAAATCACACGAAAGGGAGTCCCCTTGTCTGAAACCTCGTTTGGTATCAAACGGCTCGGAGAGGTCCTTCCCTATTCTGACGGAGCTGGTGGTATTGCTCAACGTCATTTTACACAGCCGTATTAGTTTCGCGGGGATACCAAATTCAGACATCGCGGCATAAAGGCAACTTCTCTTCGTGCTGTCGAAAGCGGCTTTGAAATCGACAAATAGATGGTGTGTGTCGATCCTATTCTCGCGGGTCTTTTCCAAGATTTGGCGTATTGTGAATACCTGATCTATGGTGGATTTTCCAGGCCTAAAGCCACACTGATAAGGTCCAATCAGCTCGTTGACGGTGGGCTTCAGTCTTTCGCACAATACGCTCGATAAGACCTTGTAACCTATGCTTAGAAGGCTAATTCCGCGGTAGTTGGCGCGTATGGCGGGGTCGCCTTTCTTGTGGATTGGGCAGAGCACACTTAAATTCCAGTCGTCGGGCATGCGTTCATCTGACCATATTCTGCATACGAGCTGATGCATGCACCTCATCAGCTCCTCGCCGCCGTACTTGAATAGCTCGGCTGGCAGGCCGTCAGCTCCAGCAGCTTTGTTGTTTTTCAGCCGCGTAATCGCTATTCGTACCTCGTCATAGTCAGGCGGTGGGACAGCTACTCCATCATCATCGACTGGGGACTCGGGTTCGTCTTCCTCACTACTTTCAGCGCTGCTACCATTCAGTAGGTTATAAAAGTGTTCCCTCCACAATTTAAGTATATTCTGGACATCGGTCACTAGGTCGCCATTGTTGTTCTTACAGGAGTTCGCCCCGGTCTTGAAACCTTCCGTAAGTCGCCTAACCCTCTGGTAGAATTTTCGGGCGTTCTTCCTGTCGGCCAGCATCTCAAGCTCTTCGCACTCACGTATTTCGGCCTCTCTCTTCTTATTGCGGCAAATACGTCTCGCTTCCTTCTTCAGTTCCCTATAACGGTCCCACATGGCTCGCGTTGCGCCCGATCGCAGCGTGGCCCTGTAGGCGGCATCTTTTTTCTCTGCGGCTTCTTGACTTGCTTCAAAATTACTTGTTATAAATAAAGTTCGAAAACTGTAATGCAAGTTCTCAGAACAACTATTCCGACCATTATTTTTATTTTTAATCCGTAACATTTTATATTTTTAAGGCATTATAATTATCATTATCCGATGACTGTGCTGTGTGTTTTAAATAGAAAGAGTTTACTTCATAAAATAAATATAAAGAAGTTTTCCTTAATAACTTGGATATCTATTCAACATTCACCATCTTCGCGGTGTCGTCTCATATGCCCAGCCAATCCCGCTAGCTGCGCATATGCTTGTCCACAAACCTTACATTTGAATTTCTTCTCTTCTAGATGCAAGAACTTATGGTGATAGAGAGATTTTGCATGAGCAAATGAACGATCGCATACTTTGCACACATGTGGACGTTCTGTACCATGCGTTACTTTGTGCTCTCTGACTGCCGATTTAGATATAAAACGTTTTCCACATTCCTCACAAGCGTATGGCTTTTCTCCTGTATGTGAACGATAATGTACCTTAAGCATTTCAGGCACTCGACAAGAATAGCCACAAATATCACAAATGAAGTTCTTGGCTCTGGTGTGGATGCGCTTATGAGCTTGATATTGTCGACGTGTAAAGAAGCGTTTCGTACAGTTTTCGTAATCGCAGGCAAATCTCCGCTCTGTTCCGTGCGTGTGAGTTTCAATGTGCCTTAACTGATTTGTCCTTGACGTTAATCTCCTTTCACAAAGCGAACATTTCATGCCTCCATGCACTGTTAGGCAATGATCTTCCAAACTACGCAATGTTTTAAATTCTTCCGGACATTCCTCGCATTTTTGCATTTGTATAGCTAAAGTCTTTCCTCCTTCAGGACTATGTGCTTTTTGCAAATGTAGGCGTAAATTATGTTTGTTTTTGTAAGTACGAGAACATATTTCACATTTGTATGTTTCAGTTCGAACACGTTTAATTTCTTTAAGCTGGAATTTAAAACCTGGTATGTAAAGTACATATTTGCCACTAGCAATTTTTTAGAGAAATGGTATACCTTTTTTTTATGTGAAGTTGGTGAGAAATCTTGATCCCTATCATAATTATCCTCCTCGTCATTTTGCGTCCCAGTCTCCAGAGACTCAAACAAAGCCTGTTTCTGTTCCCATTTCATGATGCGTAATCCAGCCTTTTCGTCCTCAGCATCAGATATGTCAAAGTCGTTCACTTCCATGAATTCAACGTCATCGCTGTTTTCTTCAATTAAAAGCTCATCTTTCACATTTGCTGCCAAGTAAGGTGTCACTTCGAGAAGGACTTCCTCAGTCCTCAACAAATCATTTTCGAAGTGTACATTTTTGCAGTGCAACAAGAAGTCCTCATAGTGGAATGCTTTCAAGCCGCAGAGCGAACAAACTATGGTAAATTCGGTGGAGCTGTGACAGTAGATTTCTCCACATTTTGCGCTTGGATTACCTCCAAATGAGCTGCTGGGAAGTAGTTTAAGCATGGCGAAACCAATTCAATTTTTCACAGCCCAAGCGTAAACAAATGCACAATTTTTTTTCCAAAAACATCGGCACTAAAGCTGTAAAACTATCAATGGTACTATCGATACCATCGAATGATTCCATTGTTTTGCTCTATCTAATGGTGGTTGGCCACTATCGATAGTCTTTGTTTGAGGAAATATACATATACCCAAATTCATAAAAAATGAAGAGGACTTTAACTGCTTTGTAAATCGATTATTACAAAAAATGAAATTGTGACTTTATAGAGCTCCTTAAACCTATTTAATTTTCTATGAATAAAACCAATATTGTTTATATTATAAGTACTGCTTAGTATGCATTTCTTTATTTTTGAAAATGGGAATTTGGCAACAATCGATATGGCGACATATCGGGCTGGACAATATCGATATCGGAAAAATCGATGTTGAAAATCCTACTCCCAATTGAATAGAATATTAGACCTGCTTATCAACTCAACTAATTGTGTTATTTCCATCTTGTATATTTACTGAGGATTAAAACGGCATGCTGGTCGATTCAAGCGGCTTGTAAAACCTAAGAGCTAAATAATTCACACAAGCTGTTGACTAAACCTACTTTAGTATTTTTCCATACACTTTGTAGATGAAAAATAAATTACAACTTAAATATCGATGTCGCGGGTAAAGTATCGATGTCTTCGATATATCGACCTTGGAATATCGATTCAAAAAATCGATTATCGTGCGATGAAATATCGATATTCAGAAAGATCGATACGATATCGAAAATTCCTATCCCGTACTCGGTTCTCCGACTATTTATTTATTTATTTATTTTTTACAGTCTGTTAGACTTATATTGCAACAAAGATTTAACATTCTTATAATTAGATTTTAGATTTAAAATTTAAATATTAAATATTAAATACAAAATACAAAATGCTCTACAGAAATTTTTAAATAACATTATTTCTTTATCACTGCAATTATTTTATGTCAATATAAACGCATGCAATTTTCTGGAAGTTATGTAGACGGTTGGAAAGGCCGAGTTTCCAATCCGCGCTATTCTTTTTGGGTTACTCCATTTATTGAAATCTCCTGGGTGGTCAGAAAGGCCGAGTTTCCGATCCACCCAGTCGTGCTTTCGTGACGGTTGACGGTTGGAAAGGCCGAGTTTCCAATCCGCTCGTTTATTGTTTATTATGTAAGGGTCTAGGTAGTCGGAAAGGCCGAGTTTCCGATCCGCCTAGTCTCGATATCTTGGTGGTTGGAAAGGCCTAGTTTCCAATCCACGCTATTGTTGATACATACTATCACGATTGAGAGAATACAAAGGTTGCGCCGATCTCGGACCGCTATTCCTCTCTTAACGAATTTGGCAGAATCGTTGTTTGCATGACGTCACACTGGTGCAACTTGTTTACGTTTTCCTTGCAACATTTTTTCTTCTTCTTCCATTCTTGCTCACGTTTTGGCATTTCTCTCTCGCAATTGCACCAGTGTGACGTCACACACAAGTTATTCTCAAAAATCCTCTCCGATCGGCGCAATCTTGTATTCTATCATTCTTGCATCACTATCTTGTAGGCTGCGTTCTACAATAGTCAAATAGCAGCCGCTTGAAAAGAGTGATAGTATCACAATTTTTTATAGCCTCTGGTAATTCATTGAAGCACTTTAAGCCTTTATAGAAAATATTTTTTTTGTCCACTTCTGTTCTATACTTCGGGAGTCTGAAGCTGTTATTCTCTCTCAACAAATATGTATGCGTCTCATTTATATATCGGAGATTATCGCTAAGATAATCCGGCAGGTTGCCCTTCTTAATATTGTACACAAATTTCATAGCGTGGTAAAAAACTTGTTGCTTCACGCTTAACCAATTCAAGGTTTCAAGCATACATCTTGTTGGTGTGTCATACGGTTTGTTGAGGATGAATCTCATCGCTCGGTTTTGCATTTTTTGCAGCTTATCTACATGGGAGTCCCCCGCTAGGAAGAAAATCGTGGGGCAGTATATAAAGTGCGGTTCTACTATTGACCTGTACACCAACGTTTTATATCTTCTTCCCAAGTACTTACACGATCTCTTTATAAGGCCAATTTTTTTAGCAATCTTGTTGACTGTATACTCAACGTGCTCATCAAACTTTAGTTTGTTGTCTATGTATATTCCTAGGTACTTGACAATTTTCACCTCTTCGATATTTTCATCTTTGATTTTTAATTCACGGCTTATGGAGTCAGCATTTGCCGCTCTGGAAAATACCATAAAGTTAGTCTTTTTCACATTCAGTTTGAGTTTATTTGAACACAGCCATTGATACAAAGAATTAAGATCTTCTTGCATTTTGACAATCGCATTTGGTAGTTCCCTATCACTGATCGTTAACAAGGCATCATCCGCAAAGAGTTTTATTTTACAATGTTTGAGAGAACTTTTAATATCGTTTATATATATATTAAAGAGTAGGGGTGCCAAAACTGAGCCCTGTGGTAATCCGATGTCTACGGCTATCTTACTAGACATCTTTGAATTAACTATTGTTTGTTGCCTACGATTACATAGAAAGCTTCTAAACCAGTCAAGCTCAGTGTTTTTTATACCAATGTTATCCAACATTCGGACTATTGAGAGGACAAAAAAGAGAGTAAATAAGGTCCTCTCTCTGTCAGAAGTTACCAGTTTTAGTCCGAAGATTTTTTGCTGGTAAATTCTGGTAAATGTGTCAGACGATCAGCTATAGTGTGTTTGGCTAATTTGTGTTGAAAAGTATTTAATTACTTGTTTTAAGTGGATTCTAATGAATTTGAAAGAAGTTTTGGTTATTTACATGTGTTAGTTGAGTGTGTTTACATACAAAATAAGCAAAAATTTACAACCAAAATTTGGAGGTTTTGTTGAAGTTGACAGAAGTTACAATTTTTTACTAGAACGTGATCCCGTACCTTTTATTGTTACTCTCTCGCTCTGAGCGAATTTTCCTTTTTTGACAGTTTTACTAGTTTTAGTCCGAGGAATACGGGATTGCACCTACTATTTTTTTACCTAATACCGGGCTTTACCCGGTTGAAGTATTGAATTCAATTCTGCTTTCAAGCGGAAGAGGGGTTGAGAAGAAAAGGGAAGAGTACATATGCGTCTGTACCGTCAAGTGGTTTCAAGTTTCTTGCTTTTTTATTGACATATCCGTCATTTCCCAATTAAAGAACCAAAAACTAGAATTCAACAAAATTTAAACGTGTAAAAGCAAATAGAAAACGCAAAAGAGAATGAACCAGAATTGCTTTAAAGTAAAGTAAGTGGGTGTAACAAAATTTAAAAAAAGAACTAGTTTGAGTATCTTTTTGGAACCATACTATGGTGTAATTGATCGAAGAGAAAGATCAAAGTTACTGAAAATCGCTATATAACAATTAGTTAATTCTTCAGGAACTAAATAAAACAAAAAAGTTTATGGCTGAATTTCTTTATTCATTCTGAACGTTTGGAATAAACTTTTTTGTTTATTTATTCTTTAGAACGTTCCTGATGATATGTTGACTTATATTTCAAACGCATTCTGTTTATTCCGGCTGTGAAATTGGATTATCCGGAATGTATAAAGAAACGCAGCCTATATAAATAGCTTCGTCAATGCATTTTAAAATTATCCGATACTATCGATAGTTTCAATGCAAACTAGCGAAAACATCGAATGGGATGACTATCGATAGTGGAGCTGTAAAACTATCGATGGGACTATTATAGTATCGATAGTTTTGAGCTATCTTGAACCGTCGATAGTTTTTCGCACTATCGATACTATCGAAATTTTTTGTTAAGCTTATCGACTTCACTTAGGTTCTTGAAATTTATTAAGCATATTTCGTAGATATCAGGGTATTGTCCAGTGAAATTTAGGCCATACAAGTTAAATAGTTTCTTTTTATATCGAATAAAACTTATGGCAAAATATATTTAGCTGATTTTCGCTTTGTTTTTGTCGAAATTCGTTTCTTGTATTTATAAAACTACTCATAATACCATGAACTGGACTTAAAACCAAGAAGCAGGGAACTTTTGTAAAGAGTTGATCCAATTTGAGCCAAAATAAGTACTTGTATTTGTTCAAGTGTTGATGAAACCAAGATTGTGCATTTCAATACATATTTTTTTAATGCCCATTTATTCTTCGGTCTATTTTGAGCTAGTTCAAGTTTCACCTTACGCAAAAACTGTTCATTGGGACATACATACGTAGGCCCAGACGATTCATTTACTTACTCCCAAAGTTCAGAAACATTTTTTGCACTTGTGAATAAAGTAAAGTAAAAGTTTAGTGGTAAGGTTTACTTGGCCGCAAATGTATATTGATTGAAACTGTGGGCATATTTTCAATCACTAATATATTCGTATGTTAGTGATAAAATTTGCAAAACGTAGAAATTAACGATTTAAAATTCAAAAGAAATATAAGAAAATTTCCCCTACTTTGCAAGTTTTTGCGTTCGAACACGTCAAAACATGAAAATTCGTAAAAACTTTTACTGGATTTTACTGGAAAGGGGGGTAAACAAACGCAACTATTGTCTTGACAGCATTGTCCAATGTAAACACGCCATTAGGGAACGCAACTGTAAATTCACCACGACGCGATACAGCAACAAGGGCCAGGGGTGTTTTTGTACGACAGGCAACTTTCCAGCGGCAGCGCTCAGAGCGTTCCGGTAGCAATTTTATTTTGTAACAAATTTATCATCAAACGGTGGCTTTAAAATTTCTTTTATATTTATTATTTATAGTAGATCCATTTATTTGCGTTTATTCGTAAAATTAATGCAATAAACNATTATAGTATCGATAGTTTTGAGCTATCTTGAACCGTCGATAGTTTTTCGACTATCGATACTATCGAAATTTTTTGTTAAGCTTATCGACTTCACTTAAACTATGTTCACATATCAATATTATCTCAATCAAAGCTCGTTTTTTAATCACCCCGTTTACACAGGCAAATCTCAGATTATTAGCCGTCAA